AAAAAAAAAAAAAAAAAAAAAACTAGGTGAAGTTCTGAATCATCAATGTCATTAGGTAAGTAAGTGTTACATCATCTCTGGATAAGCATATCATTGAAAACAAATGGTGGTGAAATAATCTCAAAATTGCAGGAATAGTCTGGTGTAACAGAGTTGCTGATTTCACTTGAATTGAAGTAAGGATCACCAATTAAAACCTACACTATTTGAAGGGAAGATGTCTTGTCCCTCATGTCTTTCGAGGTCTACCTCTCTTACCTGCTCCTGCTTTTCCTTGAGAAGGCGTTGATTTCTTGTTCGACGGGGGGCGTCCCCGTCCACGGCCACTGCCTTTTCCTCCGCCAGATGAGTTTTTACTTCCCTTTGGTCTACCTCTACCCTTACTTTTGCTCCCATATTGTTCACTTGAATCCGACAGCCCATTCGCCTCATCTTCATCGCTGCTGCTGCCATCTTCATTTTCCTCTTCTTCCTCCTCCTCTGACTCAGATGAATCTTTAGCCTTCTTCCTCTTCTTCGCATTCTGCGACGCTTTAGCAGCCTTCGGAGTTTGCTTGACCGCCGAACCTTTATTCTGTGGTACTGCATTCGAAGCTGCATTCTCTGCATCAAGAATAATAACTTAAATCTCTAGAATTCCCACCATAATCCTCCTTAATCTCAACTTTTCACAGGCCAATCCTCTCCTGATTATCCTTAACAACCATTTTTCTTGTTTATTAGTTAAACTTGAAAATACCATACCTTCATCAAAAGCTTTGCCATCGTGTATATCAAGCTGTCATCAAAAGCCATTAAAAGTTAGAAGTAACCTTTTACCCAAGTAAAAATGAAATGTGTACACAACAAAAAACAAGAAAGGGTGACGATAGGATGGCAACAATGCTAACAATATCCCTTTGTCCAGGAATGTCATTGCAAAATGCAGCAGTTTCAAACACAGTGCACTTCAGAAAATGGCTAAGAGAAGCAAGGAAAGGCAGGTTCAACTATTTCTGGGGATTTTCGGGACTATTTTTACGAGGTTTTATTCAACTATAAGGGCAAAATTCTAACTTCGAAGTCGTTAAATGTGAAGGACTATTACCTGATCAAGTCGGTCAGCCATATTAGCTCTATCAACAATAACCATTGAGTGTCCAACACCACATGCAACACTAAAGCAAAAGCAAAAACAAAAAATCTGTCACGTCCTAAAATATTCAAGGAAAGGCTCTATATATATGCATATAAAATAATGATCTACCTTACGACATGCATGTTCTCCAGGATGTCGACTTTCTTGGGTACGGCAGAAGACCTGAACAATAGAGATTAGCATAAGAAAACATTCAAGAGAAAAACAATTAGAGAGGCAAGAAGCATTTCGGATAGTGAAAGGATCATACTTCTGCCCTGTTGGGCCATATCCCAGCTCTCCATATTGTGCATGGCCCCAACTTATGCACGAGTTATCGGCACCCACAAAATGGTGCATGCCGCCCGAATCCATGCACCTTATATTCCAACCACTGAGTGCAAAAAAAAAAAAAAAAAAAAAAAAAAAAAAAAAAAAAAAAAA